CTAGCTAGATAGATAGATAGATAGATAGAGACTCACACACATGTATATAGAGATAGATAGATAGATAGAAAGATAGACACACACATATTTCTCCAAACATATACCAGAACTCACTCACGACACAAAGAAAATTCATATCACTCATACCACCGTCGCAATATCTATGAAAACACTCAGCATATTCAAAAGCGTGTTAGTGTTTCATATACATGTTATGATAGAGAAGAAAAAGGTGTTTACGCATGAGTGATCGTCATAATAAGGTTCGGATATGCTATACTTCCCTCGGTTTAGGAATATGAGTTTTAACCGTTGTTTATAAACATTATAAACTTCTTGTTATCTTAGCATTGTTGCAATTTATCTAGTAATTCCACCTTCGTTCTTGTTTTTATAATTATATTTGGTACATTTACTCTCTCGCTTTATAAACCTCTTTTGTTTGTTTGTCTGTCTGTCTTTTGTATCGCGTAACCTTTTGCTTGGAAAAGGTTACGAAATTACGTAATTAATAGGTTCGTTCTCCACAGCGAAAGACCAGCCTGTGAATACGAATTTTGTGCTTATTTATTCTGAATCCTCGTCACCTCATCATTACGTAGTTTCTATGTATTTTCCATGTACCCTCAATGTACTATCTGCGTACCTCTGAAACATCCGAAGCAAACGTTTGGTTGCCTTAAGGAGCAGTTCGTGAAACCTACTTAACGTAATACATGGTGTTCAAAATACGTGTGACGTCTTCTAAACAAGCTTCTCTCCCCCGGTACCTTGCCATTACCCTCAATAGTTCTCTTTCTGTTTGTATTTTGAGCAGACTTGGGTATCCGTGTATTTTCTCTCTCTTTCTCTCTCTCTCTCTCTCTCTCTCTCTCTCTCTCTCTCTCTCTCTCTCTCTCTCTCTCTCTCTCTCTCTCTCTCTCTCTCTCTCTGTGTCTATCTGTCTATCTATCTATCTATCTATCTCTTTCTCCCTCTCCTCTGTGTGTGTGTTTGTGTGTGTGTGTGTGTGTGTGAATGTGTGTGTGTGTGTGTGTGTATGTGTGTGTGTGTGTGTGTGTGTGTGTGTGTGTGTGTGTGTGTGTGTGTGTGTGTGTGTGTGTGTGTGTGTATGTGTGTGTGTGTGTATGTGTGTTTATGAGTGTATGTGTGTGTGCGGCCAAACGGAAAAGCATTTTTGATAAAGTTTATCGCTGACGGAAGAAGAAAAAGGTGTGGAGAAAGGAGGATAAGGAGAGAGGCGATGGGAAAGAGGGAAAGGAGGGAAGGGGACAGGGTGAGAGGAAGGGAAAGGGGAAGGGAAGGAAGATAGATAGGAGAGGGAGAAGATAGGAGGAAGGAGAGGGGAAAGGGAATAGGAGAGAGAAAAGGGGGGAGGAAGAGAAAGGAAGAGGGATAGGAGAGGGAAGACGAATAAGTGAGGGAGTAGAGAGGAGGAGGGAGAAGAGGGAAGTGAGGGAAGAGGAGGTAGCGAGGGAGGAGAAGGGGGGAAAGAGAAGGAGAAAAGATATGGAAAGAAGAAAACAGAGGAGGGGGAAAGAGGGGAGAGGGAGAAGGGAGATGAGAGGAAACAAAGAACAGGAGAAAAGGAGAAGAGAGAAGTGAAGGAAGGAAAGATAAAGAAGTAAGAAGCAAAAAGGAATAAGGAAGGAGAACCGAGGGAGAGGCAAGAGAGAATAAGGAGGAAAGAACTGAAGAGTCATGGAGGTAACAAGAGGAATCAGTTATTTAATATTCCACCGTAAATCGCCAGACAAGAGCCTTGATATTAGCGTACAAATTAAACAGTACAGGTGGTCGGCCGGAACCCCAAGGGACATGCAAAAAACAAAACCCGGTATTGAACGTCTCGACCTGAAAATGACACCGAGAGAGGGCAGCACCTTCTGAATCTTGCATTAAAAAAGAGGGATTATTTCGAGTTTCTTGTTTCCCTTTTTTTTGATCTGGTGGCGTTTATTTACATTATGCATATTTATACTTTATAAGGGTAGGATTTTTCTTTTCGTGTGTGTTAGATAAGTGGATCATTATTAAATTCTCTTTCCTTTCCTGGACATGGTAGTGTTTATTTACATTACAGCGTTTATACTTTATAGAGTCAAGATCCTTTTTTGTGATAAGATAATCACTATTAGATTCCTTTCTTTTTCCTTCCCTGGATTTAGTGGCGTTTATTACATGATGGCGTTTATACCTTATGCTGTCAAGATTTTTTTTTCTTTTTCTTTCTTTTTTTTTGTAATTAGAGGATCGCTATTGAATTCCTCTCTCTTTCCTTTTCTGGTTTCTTCTGCTAAATAATAGATATATAAAAGTCTGAGTATCACCTAATGTTAAAAAAATGTTAAAGAAAAAGTCTGAGTATCACCTAATGTTAAAAAATGTTATAAAAAAGTCTGAGTATCACCTAATGTTATAGCATAACAACCATACAGTAACATATGACGAAATATAATGCAGTATATTGGACATGACCAAATTATATTAATCATTTCCTACAGTTGAACGAATACCCCAGAAAAAAATATCATGGTCAATTTATATGAAAAACTAACTATGATTTTATGCAATTTTCATAACCTGAAAATAAAGTTCGTACTGAAGGAGAATTGTATAACCGTCTATGGTGAATGGGTAAATGATATCAATAACAATGGTAAAATATCCAACTAAACAACAACAGCAACAACAATTAATGATATTGATATTGTTAGTAATGATAAGGCTATTGATAATGATAACTTATAATAAATAATGATGATAATGTTAATGATATTGATAATGATGATAATAGTAATAATGATAATAATTAAGATAATAACAATAATAATAATAATAACAATATAAATAATAACAATGGTAACAATGATAATAATAACAATGGCAACAATGATAATAATAATGATAGTAATAATAACAGTAATAATAATAACATTAATAATAATAATAATAATAATAATAATAATAATAATAACAATAATAACAAAAACAACAATAATACAATTTTTAAAAAACACCATGAAAAAAAACATTTTACACACAGACCCCAAACACTCACTCTTTTCACTCTCCCTTTCACTCCCCCCCCCCCCTCCCCTCTGCAAACACAGCACATTCCGAGACACCGTAATCATCATAGTTTTGGGCTGAATCAACAGAAGTCCGCCCCCCCCCACAAGAATACAACACGTAAGGACAGGGCAGCAGCGAATAAGGTACGTTCTATGAGGGGTTGTGCTGTGAGGTCCCCGATGGCTGAGATAGTTATCCGGAAACTGGGTCAGTGTGTGATTTTGTTTTTTTTTCTTGTGGTTAGGGGTGGTTGTTAGTGTTGTGGTGGTAATGGGGGGTAGTATTTGGGTAGTTGCTGTTGTCTTTCTTATTATTATTATTGTCATTTTCATCGTTATCGTTATCGTTATTATTATCATTATTGTCATTTTCATCGTTATCGTTATCGTTATTATTGTTATCGTCATCATTATCATCATTATCGTTATCATTATCATCATTATCGTTATCATTATCATTATCATCATTATCGTTATCGTCATCATTATCATCATTATCGTTATCATTATCATCGTTATCATTATCATTATCATCATTATCATTATCATCATCGTCATCGTCGTCGTCATTACCATCATAATTATCATTATCATCCGCATCACGTCATTATCCCTATCATTAGTATGATCACTCTTATTATTATCACCTTTATCATTATCTTTAGCACCATTACCATTATCACTATCATTATCATCACATTATCACCATCATCATCATTATCAGTATCAATGATATTATTGTTATAATCCTCATCATCACCATTTTCATTATCATCACTTATCATCATTATTATTAGCAGTAGCATCATTATCATTAGTCGTAGTAGGTAGTAAGGTAGTAGTATCAGTAGTAGAATTACACTGTTATTAGCATTATTTTAATTGTTAATATAAAGTTTTATCTTCATTATAATTGTTAGTATTATTACTACTAATATTACCATTATTATTATTGTTATTGTTACATTATCATTATCACTATTAATATTATAATTACTGTTATTGTTATTACTATTACTACAACGATGGCGACAACTAATATCATTATTGTTATCATTATCATTATTATCGTTATTATTATTATTATAATTACTATTATTATTATCTTCGTCATAATTTATGTTATTATTATCATTATATTTATTATCATTATTATTATTACTATTATTATTATTACTATTATTATCATCATCATCACTATTATTATCATTATTGTTATTATCATTGTTATTATTGTTATCATCATCATTATCATCATTATCATTATCATCGTTATTATTTATGTTCTTTTTTTATTAGTGTTCATTCCCATTAGCACTATCATTATTAATATTGTTATTATTATTATCATTGTTATCATCATTACTGGTATTATTTTTATAGTTATCATTACCATTATTATTATTATTATTATTTTGTTGTTATTATTATTATTATTTATTATCATAAATATTATTACTATCATCATTATCATTATCATTATTATTATTATTGTTGTTGTTATTATTATTATTATCATTATTATTATTGTTATTATTGTTATTATTATTATTATTATTATTATTATCATTACTATTATCATTATTATTGTTATTATCATTATTATCATTATTATTATCATCATCATTATCATTACAATTATTATCATAGCTTTATCATTATTATGATTAGTCCTGTTGTTACTATTATCATCATTATCATTATCATAATTATGATTAATCAAAAATGTTATGCGTAATAACTTTTTATTTATTTATCTAACTATTCATTTTTAAAGAAAATCCTTGCTTATTATCAATTACAAAGACATTTTTGGGTGCGAATCAGTCTGATATTTTTTTTTCTTATTAATATCATATTACACAAGGCCAATAATTTTCATAGTTACAAAACTGTAATAATATGGATTTCAAAAAGTAGCCTCTT